ATGAACCCCACCCACATATATTATAATATCTAAAAATTATTCTCTGTTTCTTTTGAAAATTCTTACCCCTCCACATTTGACGAAAATAAAATCTATGAGACAATAGAATGCCAGAAGATTTGCCAGATAGAATGCCAGAAAATATGCCAGAAGATATGCCAGATAGATATGCCAGAAGATATGCCAGAAGATATGCCAGAAGAGCCAGAAGATATGTCAGAATATATGCCAGAAGATATGTCAGATAGAATGCCAGAAGATATGTCAGAATATATGCCAGAAGATATGCCAGATTGAATGCCAGATTGAATGCCAGAAGATATGTCAGATAGAATGCCAGAAGATATGCCAGATAGAATGCCAGAAGATTTGCCAGATAGAATGCCAGAAGATATGCCAGAAGATATGCCAGATCATATGCCAGAAGATATGCCAGATAGAATGCCAAATAGATTGTCAGAAGATATGTCAGATAGAATGCCAGAAGATTTGCCAGTAAGAAAATGTATAAATGTCATGGTGGGGATCACACGAAGTAAAGTAATTTTGCTTAAAGCTTTGTAGCTAAATCTTCGTGTGCAGCAGCTTGATAAGAAAGCTTTTCAGACATGTTCATGTCCATGGCACAAGTTCTTGGTGGCAGAAATTGTTAAGAAAATGTGGTAGACATGTTCAGGTCCGGGGCATAAGTTCCGTGCCCCCGTGGGCCCGTGAGCCCGTGGGCCCGTGGTCCGGGGCGTAAGTTCCGTGAGTCCGTGGGCGCCCGTGAGCCCACGGGCCCGTGGGCCCGCGAGCCCGTGGGCCCGTGGATGGGCCCGTGGGCCCGTGGATGGGCCCGTGGTTGGGCCCGTTGGCGGGCCCGCGGGCCCGTGGAACACTAGCGGACGCTTCTCACTTGGTGACATCTACCTTCGTTTCATGTGGCAGGCGTGGCGCCATCTCACATTCACCTTGGTTTTGCGTGGCAGGCATGGCACTCATGGCACTGGGTGGCGCGCTTGGGTGACGCCGCGGCACTTTGCGTGGCAGGCGTGGCACTTGGTGACATCTACCTTCGTTTCACGTGGCAGGCGTGTCACCATCTCACATTCACCTTGGTTTTGCGTGGCAGGCGTGGCACTCATGGCACTGGGTGGCGCGCTTTGGCCCGCTTGGGCCCGTTTTAATTTTAGTCGCGGATGACGCCGCGGCACTTTGCGTGGCAGGCGTGGCACTCATGGCACTGGGTGGCGCGCTTGGGCCTGTTTTAGTCGCGGATGACCCCGTGGCACTTTGCGTGGCAGGCGTGGCACTTGGTGACATCTACGATCTTTGTCACATACCATCTCACACACAACTTTGTCACACACCATCTTTCACACCCATCTTTGACACACCATCTTTCACATACCATCTTTCACACACAACTTTGTCACACACAATCTTTCACACCCATCTTTGACACACCATCTTTCACACACCATCTTTCACACCCATCTTTGACACATCATCTTTCACACACCATCTTTCACACGACGCCGCGGCACTTTGCGTGGCAGGTGTGGCACTTGGTGACATCTATGTTCGTTTCACGTGGCAGGCGTGGCACCATCTCCCATTCATCTTGGTTTTGCGTGGCACTCATGGCACTGGGTGGCGCGCTTGGGCCCGTTTTAGTCGTGGATGACGCCGCGGCACTTTGCGTGGCAGGTGTGGCACTTGGTGACATCTACCTTCGTTTCACGTGTCAGGCGTGGCACCATCTCACATTCACCTTGGTTTTGCGTGGCAGGCGTGGCACTCATGGCACTGGGTGGCGCGTTTGGGCCCGTTTTAGTCGCAGGTGACGCCGCGGCACTTTGCGTGGCAGGCGTGGCACTCATGGCATTGGGTGGCGCGCTTCTGGGCTGTGCTTTTGTGCCTCTGGTTTTTGGGCTTGTTTTTGCTGGTATTTCCCCAGCTTCACGATCAGAAGCTTCCCACACTTGGGAACATCATGTTTGCACCTAACTCGCTCCCAGGATGTATTTCGAAAGTAAGTACACATGTATGCAAAAATGGGTTTTGGCCGTGATGTTGAACAAAGAAATGTCAGTCTCCTGGTAGTGCTCGCAAAGTTGCACATGCAATTGCGTCATTTGGAGGCTCTTGAGGACGAGGATCTCTTGTTGTTCTTGTGGCACAGCCATAAATCCAAACTTTGGGCTGTATGAATCCAGGATTTGCCCTATCTCAACATTGAGCTCCGGAAGAGCTGAAGCCTGGATGTGCTGTTGATTGTCTGGGTCCATGTAGTGCTGGAAACATTTGCACAATGCTAAATCCAAGCCTTGGATATCCGCTGCTTTGCCTCGCAGCTTTGCATAGCCCTTGGCTTTTTGGAACATTGTCAGCTTCTCAAGGCAGTGGCGGTAACGATGTCGCGATGGATCGTCCTTCTGAAATTTTACAATAAAGTCCCAAACAACTTTGAGGTTGTCCAAAGGTTCCGCATGTAAGCACTCATGTACAAGCAGCCAGATGATGCTTCCATATAGGTGTTGCAATGTGCCTAGGAAGGAACAGTGCATGAGATCGTACGCGGTCGACCAACAACTAAATCCAGGTAGCTCAAACAAAGCACAGCTTGTAGTCCACCACAAACGCCAGTTTTCAGTGGTTAACAATTGCTGCTGCCATGGAGAGCCTTGGCGGTTGTCGCACCAACTGTTTTCTCCGTAGAACTCCGCCCTGCATTGGGCGCATGGCTGGTGGCTGGTGGACTTTTGGCAAATTGAGATACTTGCTGTAGTAATCTAAGTCTCCTGAAAGCGGTAATAGTACTGCAAAATGTCCGCCAGCCAAGGGGGCACCGGCTCTGCGACCTGCTGGGCTCAGAGGATCTAACCTCCTTCCAACCCAATCCACACTTGGCCAAACACCTTCAAAAAGAGCTTGGAAGCTCCATTGAATAATTTTGAAAAAGGTATCCATTGTGCCAAGGACTTGCTCGGTGGTTGGCACACAAAACTTTTCAAAAACACTCCACACCATAAACATGATATCATCGCATGGTGCACCGCATGCATTGGCAATCAGAGAGCACCAGCTGAAGCAAAGGCAGGACCGAGACCAAATCTTCCCTTCGTCTCCATGGAGGCCTAAAGGCACTCCATGGGTCCGGTAATTTCTTGTCCTTTTGATGGGGTGGTTGGTCATTGCAGGATGCCCATCAAATTTGTGCCAAAACTCTTGAAGTTTTGTTGGCATGGTAAAATACTCTTGTGCATTCTTGTGCCAAAAATTGGATTTTCAAAAAAAGCGGCAAACAGCTCGTGTGGCAACAGGATGCTTCCTGGATGGATGCCAGCTTTGTATGGAATCTGACATGTGAAAGGCATGGGCAGTGATGACATGTTTGCCAGTCCGTAGTAGACTTGTCTGATCAAGTTTCTACTGTGCTGAAGGGAAGCCAATTTTTCGAGGGCTGGGAATGTAAAACCTTCTCTTGCACCTTGAAGATCTTGTGCAGCGGCTTGAGCTACTGCATGGGCCATCGCACCTGAAATGAGTCCTTGGGCCAAGTAGGTCATAAGGAGGGCCTGTAATGCACTTTCTCGGGTCATCTCTTCTGCAGCTCTCTTCATTCTTTGATGAACGCCTCCTTTTTTTTCTTGCTTTTTCTGGTGTCCTCAAGTTCCATTATTGAATGGCTGCAAATGTGAAACACCAATAAGTCAGAGGTGAAACAAAGTGTCGGTTTTGTGCGCAACCGAGTTTGAACCTTGAAATTGTATGCATCAGACTGGGGATTGGGATGAAAGAAAAATCTCTAATAAATCATCCAATCTGCCACAAGTAACTCTTCACACAAGTAAGGCGCAGGTAAAACACATTCTCATGTATCTCCTAATCTCAAGTACAAGTCATTGCATAGGAAAAGCAGCATGCGAGCATTTTTTCCCATCACATATCGATCCACGGCTTTGTCCAAATCACTGCTGTTCTTTGGCGTAGATCATGTAAAAGACTCCAGCGCTTTTGCAATGGAGAACCAAAACATTGTCGTCCTTCATATGTACCTGGAAATGTGCTTGAGCCCAAGGGAAAAAGACCACTACATATTTTTTCCCCACCAACAAGGAAAGAGAAATAAAATGGAATTACATGAGATACTTTTGAAACCAGGCACGCGGAAATGCCTTTGCTTCCATTTGTCGGAGTCCTTCACAAACTGGCAGAACCAGCAACTTTGAACCTCGCCGCTCCACATCTTGGCAACCCTGTCAACATAGTAGTGAGGAAGCTGAAGAATGTCAGGATGGCGAAAGAGCGGTTCAGAGCTGATCTTCCAGGCAAAGTTTCCCTCCAACAGCTCTTCGACAGTAGGAGGGTTCTTGCAGGCATTGCTTGCCGCAGCTATGTGGTGGACTGATAGGAATATGACACAAGTAGATTTACCCCTTCTACCTGGATCCCCTCAAAAGCTGCAAGAAACTGGTATGACTTGTTAACCACATGAGGATCTTTTTTTGTTACTTGAGATTGCGCATGTAAACATCTGAGAAAATGTTCGTCTTTCTTTTGTGGAGAAAGTCAGTCATCTACTCTTATAATTGAAGTCACACAGGTACTTACTTGGGAAATTGCGTTAGTACTTGTGAATCAGATCTGGAATCTAGGCTTACTTGAGTTTGCACATGTAACTATAGCAGTTGTAATCTACTTTTATTTGAGATGCCACAAAAAATGGGAGTCAGATAAGCAATCTACTTCATCTATCCCTCAGGTATGGTTGCTAGCAAGAAAACATCCAGTTCACAAGTACGCAAGTATGAGAAAGCGCTGTGCCAACCTTTTTTCAACTGCAGCCTTTCGGCCATGCTTTGTTCGGACAAGTGAAACCAAAAACCTGGATATGTTGCACCGACATGGTGCATAGCGCAGGTAGAGAAGCTTTTGCCTCACAAAAGTATAGATCAAGTAGATCAGAGCGCAGGTTGAAAAATTAGAGGCAAAGCTAAGATTCAAAGGTCACCGCTTCAGGCAGACCTTTTGGCTCGCTTGCTCAGCTGTCCCTTGACACCTGCAAGCTTTTCATCCAACTTCTCCACAGTGCAGCCACACTCGAAAACCAACCTGTTGTAGCCATCCATGGTGATCTTCTCGCCATTTTCCATCTGCTTGAAAGTGAGCACATGGCTCATGAGATTCTTCAGCTTGCGGATCTGCTGAACCACGTCCTTCCTGTGGCAGCAGCAGGTGGATATAAGTAAGGGGATATTTTTTTTAATGCACGCATGTAAACATGAGTATCTTTTCCATGATATAAGTAGGGGGATAAATATATTTTTTATGCACACATGTAAACATGAGTATCTATTCCATGATATAAGTAGGGGGATAAATATTTTTTTATGCACACATGTAAACATGAGTATCTATTCCATGAACACAAGTACGGGTCATGTTATCTTTTGTATTTGTCAGTCTCAGTCTCACAAGTATTTTTTTTAAGCAGCCAAGGGACGAGACATCGTACAAGTCGTCGTCAGGGTCTGTGAGGCTATTGAGATGCCTGAGGGCCTCTGTCTCCATCCTGTCCAGCGCACCTGAAGCTTGGCCAATCTGCTTCTTGACAACCTCCCAGCGATCAGGTGTCAAAGGCAAGTCCTGCCCACCTGTCAAAGCCAGTTGGCCGGGGCTACAGATGGAAGGGGCTTCATGAGTCCCATAGCCCAACTCTGGGCTGCAGCCTTGTACTTGGCCATGTCCTTGCTTTCACCTTCTCTCTTGGCTTCCCATCCCATCTCTGACTTCTCTCCCCTTTTGACAGTCTGGGAGTTCTGTCGCCAGCTGTATTGCTCTCCGTCATCTGTCTGCACAACGCACAACCTGGAACTGGCCGCTCTCAACCCCCTGACTGAGCATCTGCTCAGTGAGGGAAAATCTTCCCATTAAGAGCAGCTTCGGCAAAGATTTCGAAGTTGCCTTACTACTTGTCTCCACATAGTTGGACTCCATGGCTTTGAAGATCGGCTTCTCCAGGTCCATCACAAGGCGCCCTTGCTCCGATCGCGCAAAGAGCGAATTCACAATGAGCGTCTGTCGCTCCCGCTTTCCATGCTTCTTAGTCTGGGACTCCTCCCAGGCTTTCTGCAGGAATTTGGGAAGCTGGTTGGCTGACAGCATACCCAAGAACTTCTGCATCTTCACCCTGTCTCGCAGCTGCGCCTGCCCTTGGTTTCCTGCGGCTGCCACTTCGATCTCGGGGTCGAACTCGAGGACGGCTTCCTCTTCAGGCTCTTCTCCTCCAAGGTCAGCTCCAAGGTCACGAGGGGGGCTGGAGGCTGATGCAAGTCCATCCTTCCAGGAAGAGCTAGCACCAGCACTTGCTGGTCTCTTCATGGGGACAGCCGGGTCTGGGACTTCGGAGGGCTGGAAGGCAGCAGGCCTTTTCATCTGTGTCTTTCCCTTTGTCTTTGCCTTTGCCTTCTGTTTTGTTTCTTTCTGCACTGGTTTCTTCTTCATTGCTTTCTTTGGTGTTGCCTTTGCCTTGGCACCTTTCTTGGGAGTTGCCACTTTGCTACTTGGCTTCTTCATCGGGGCTGCTGGGCTCTTTGGCAAGGGGCTTTCACCTGGAGGTGCATTTTTCGTTTTGGTCGGGGTCTTGCAGCCTTCAGCTACAGCATCAGGCTGACCTTGACCTGCCTCCGCCATGACCGGTTTCAGGGACACTATTGGGAATCCATGTTTAGGAACCCAGAAAAGATCGAATTGAAAAAAGCTGCTGGGTCAAGCAATAGTGGTTGCTTCAAAAACATCCTGTGAGCACAAGTGAGGATTAGCACATAAAAGTTTCCTCAAGTAAGGATCCATCAAATATAGCCCATATTGTTTGAATCCACAAGTAAGGATTAGCACATAGAAGTTTCCTCAAGTAAGGATCCATCAAATATATCCCATGTTGTTTGAATCCACAAGTAAGGATTAGCACATAGAAGTTTCCTCAAGTAAGGATCCATCAAGTGACCCCCCAAACAAAGCCTGAGTACTATATGCCAGGCACAGGTTCATGTAAAGATCATATCATTGTCTTCTTACCATTTTGGGATCAAGCATCCATAACATTTGAAACATGCTTCTTTCTTGCAGGCAAAAACCTGGGGATACTTGAAACAGTTTTGGATTTTCCACATACATTTTTCCAATAGTAGCTGGCACTTGAATCTCTATATGCTCACTGACAGTCTACTCCAAAGATTCCTGCTTGAGATTTACATGTGATGTTCTTGGATCTGTACAAATGCTTACTTGTGAACACAAAAAGAAGTTTATTGTTTTTGTTTAAAACCTCTTTACTTGAGATCTACATGTGATGTTCTTGGACCTGTACAGATGTTTACTCGTGAACACAAAAAGAAACTTGTATTGTCCTGTCTAAAACATCCTTACTTGAGATTTACATGTGATGTTCTTGGATTTTTTGTGGTACCTTAGAACATCTTTACTTGAGATTTACATGTGTAGGGGATGATCCTGGGCCTGTACATATGTTTACTTGTGAGCAGAAAGAATCTTTTATGGTTCCTTGAAACCTCTTTACTTGAGATTTACATGTGATGATCTTGGATCTGTACAGATGCTTACTTGTGAACAGAAATAACCTTTTTATGATTCTTCAAAACATTTTTGTAAACAAGTGCACTGGGTCTTTGCAAGACCAATTGTTTCAAAGTTTTGGGAAAGAAAGCAACTTGCTGGCATTGCCAGTTTTGATTGCATCACAAATTGAATTTTATATGTCCATATTGTTGTCCAAAGGTTTGGGAATCACTGGAATCAAGTCCAACTGTATAATCAAAACCCTTAAAACTACATGTCAGCCCGGCCCTTGTCAATTTTCAATCCAAACCAGAATTTTGGCAACAGGGTTGCTAACATAGCATTTGTCCAGGGTTCCCAAAACCTCCAATAGTACATCATAATCATCATGGCAGCAATGAGCCAGATTGGCAACATCGACCAAGATTTTTTTCCTTATTCAATCTATTATGTAAAACTGTTCGTTTTGAAGCTTTTTTGGGTCCAGTAAGGGTGAGCCCCAGGAAGACATGCAAAAACAGTTGTGCCAGTCATGATTTTCAATCCAACCCAGAGTTTTGGCAACAGGATTGCTAACATAGCATTTGCCCAGGGTTCCCAAAACCTCCAATAGTACATCATAATCATCATGGCAGCAAGGAGCCAGATTGGCAACATCGACCAGGAGTTTTTTCCTTATTCAATCTATTATGTAAAATTGTTCGTTTTGAAGCTTTTTTGGGTCCAGTAAGGGTGAGACCCAGGAAGACATGCAAAACCAGTTGTGCCAGTCATGATTTTCAATCCAAACCAGAGTTTTGGCAACAGGATTGCTAACATGGCATTTGCCCAGGGTTCCCAAAACCTCCAATAGTACATC